ATTATTTTTGTTTGCACCACTGAGAAAACTAATATTGCAAATGACACTGATATTATTCCCACATGAGACTGTTTCCTGTCTGCTAATCTTCTGTATAAGGTTCTTTTGTTATGTAAATTACTGTCAGGTTGGATTTCTGACTTAAGCCCCTCCCTGGCAAAGAAATGAAACTTAAAATTTGCATCAGCAGGGCCTCACACGGTAGCTGGATGTGTGCATGGAACACTGCAGTGCGTGTTTTTAATTGTGCTACTTGTCATTTCAACTTTATGCTAAAATAAGTTTAGCATAAAACTAAAACATTAATCTCTCCTTAACTTGTAGCTAGCAACACACAGACTATATAAACAGTATATGTACGCGACACGCTGCCTAAATTCATCACAAACACGCAGCTTCTGTTAAAAATCACCGCATCTTCAGCGTACCTTTGCACCAAACTCAGACTATTAATGTGGTTTCAGTGGTTTTAACTAGCAGCTAACTTTACCAACGCGTTAACTAGCAGCTTTAGCGGAAGTTACCTTCAGGCTGCAGCGGGGTCAGAATCCACATTTTTACTGCCGTCTTGTTTCCTTTTAATCGATTAAAACCAAGCGCAGGTCAGAAATTTGATAACATTTTACGATATATAAACCATTTACACACGAATATCAACAAGCTGGACTCGGCGCGCCTCTTCGTGACGTCACACTCATGCGACGCGTCTCTTTTTCAAAATAAAAGTTGGTTCTTTTACGAGTCTTGTAGCATTTAATCTTCATAATGAAATGAGTCCGATAAATTTACATAATAAATAATATCCTAATTCCACGATATATATTATTGCAGGGTTTTTAACCACAACATTTAGACTAATCAGGTTAATCTAGCTTATAAATAATATTGTAGACTCATGATGGAGGTTGTCCTGATGCATGTGGCCTTATAATATTTTTCTTTATTTTTTTTTTTTGCACCGTGCAGAGCCATCTAGTGGTTATAGCATGCTGTCTTATTCCATGAACTCGAAGATGGATGTCTAATTTGCTTTATTTATTTGATTATTTATGTGTATGTACACATGTACACATACATAAAGTATCTATACTTCTTGAACACTTATTATTTTTATTTATTTTTTAATTGAAACTGGATACAAAATACATTTCACTGCACATTGTACCGTATATAAATGTGTACGTGATAAATAAAGCTTATCTTGAATCTTGAATCTTGAATCTAATTATTTATAGTAAATTAAAATTATTTTAAGTCACATCTTGGATTTGGATTTTCTGATTGTTGCACTAGCCCTTTTTTTTCCCCTCATTCTCTACAGAGAACAGACATAGATTTCTATCTGTTCATCAGGATGAGCAGCTTACTGTTACATTTGTTATCTTCCTTATATCTGTATAAGGCTTTTTAAATTCCTGTTGTTTTACATTGTTGTCATGGTACAGACACTGTGAGCTTTATGTTTGTTATTCAATATCAAGATATGTGCACACAGTCGACATCCCAGGACACCACTTTTGCCAGCATCACACCTCGTCGTGGATTCTCCTCAGACAGACAATGCTGGTGTAACAGGTAGTGAAGCATTCCAGGCAGAGTGCCATATTCAAACACTCCCAGTCAGAACAGTGACAAATAATCACAGAGTCAGAGTTTATTCAGGATACGTACAAGTATTACATTTAGCAAGGTCAGAAATCATATTATTTTTTAGATAAACATGAACAGAAACATATCAGAGATTTAAACTGACAACAACAACAACAGACATCAACAGCAAAATGCTAAAAATTAAAACCTATAAATATGGACAGATATGAAGTTATTTTGCAGATTTTGTTGCAAGATTCTGCAAAATTAGTCTCTCATGATGAAATACAAACTTTTATTCATGAAATCAAAAACAAACATGATGTATAATCTATTGCTGTCTCTTGTTTTTGCATGAATGGCTCAAAATAAAGGGTCATTGTCAGATCTCCACGGCTGCTGCCCTGTTCGGAGGCGTCCTTGTCCCCAGAGGCAGGGCAGCTTGTGATTGACCCTCATCACGGCGACGCTGGTGCAGGAGTCGGGTTTCCGGATGATTTCGCACCAGTCTGGATAGTCCACAGGCTTCGATGCACTGGAGGGGCGATCAGAGTTACGTTGGAGTGTGAATTCTACGTACAAATATGCTGAAACGTGGGAAAAGACACTCACTAGTCGCAGCATCCGACTCCAAAAGGCTCCATGCAGACGCACTGGTAGCAGTCGGAGGTGATCCAGCTCTCTCCAATGCCGTACAGCTGCCCCATGTACTCACAGCTCCCTGGAAATACAAATAACTGTGAAGACATATCTGCTGACTGAGCTTAAATCCTTTACATTAGATTCAAAGCTTTACTTGAGTTAATAGATGAACCGTAAAGAGCAAAAAAGCAACAACAACAGCAAAAATAATGCAATATTCCAGCAGCTGGAACACCAAAAAAAATCAAACATTTTCATAGAAACACATTTCATAAAAACAAGATATTTTTTAATTATTAAAATGCATTTTCTAGTCTTTATTTTACAAGAGATCATGTGTGGTTTTTGGGGCTTTTCAATGTTTAATGAAGAATGTTTATGTGTGTAAAAACAACGACATTACCTTTAATAAATAAAGATCAAAGTGATAAATGACATAATATATAAATAATAATGACAGCTATAGTTTGACAGAACGCTGGATGTTATAAAGTTATGAAAACAAGTGTATTGATTTTTTTGGTGTGAAACCTTCTGTGATTATAAATATATTTCTCATTCAACAATTGTACATAATTTTAGAATTATATTTACAGAATTTAACAGTTTTATTTATTAAATAAAAAGAATAAATAAATATAATATATAAATTTGACATTTTGTTTCAAAATATGTAATAAATAAATGTAAATATTACATCTTAAGTATTCTTATTGTCATTTACATTAGATGTGCAATTTTACACTATTTTGTAAAAAAAAAAGTATTTCTGTATACTTTTTTAAAAAATACTGAAAAAAAATCAATTAAAAAAAAAGAAGGAAAAATTGTTTAAAATTAATATTTTCAAACAGTACATTACAGCAAGATATGTTTAGATTTTTAAAGCAAAACTACTAATAATGCAGAGTGGTTTCTTTTACTTTTTTGACATAATTGTACCTAAGAAATACAGATTCATAAAACTTCATGTACGAACAGCATTTAAATGTTGCAGCAGGTTTGTGTGGGAGAAAAAAAATCTATATAATGTTTGTTGGTTTGTTCCATTGATGAACATATTGTATGTTTTTGGATGTTAAATTTGAATTTGCATAATAATAATACCACTAATATCTAAATAAAACTATGTGATATAGCAAAAAGTACAATATTCTGTCTTTAAAAACATCACTTCAAGTGCCTCAGAGAAGATGTTCTTACTTCTTTACTTCTACATGTGGACGTGTGCACGTATAAACTGATATTAAACGGTGTGTTTTCTGACACACACTCTGTACCTTTGGTGTTGAAGAAGCATTCTCCGCTGTTATAAACAGACAGACATGGAACACTGACACTCAGGAACAAGAGGAAAGCCAACAGAGCTCCTGCTGCCATTTCTGTGGATTCAAACAAGAACATTGCAAAGGTTAAAAAAGAAAAAAGCAAAAGTTTGTCTTTAAGATGACAGAAGTCAGGCTTCTCGTCTCACCTGTTTGTGAGTTTCCAGCCCTACGTGTTCAAATGTTGTGCTGCTGAATTATCTCTCGGCTCTGCTCGTCTTCCTCTCATCCACCTTCCTGTTGGGGTTATATTCCTTCCTGCTTGGTTCCCTCTCCTCAACTGATGCACTTTCTCCCTGCAGATATTTATACTGCAGCAGCACGTTTTTTACTGTCTTGGATGCCATTCGTCCTCCAAACTCCCCCCAAACACACACACAGTCTCATTAATTAGCATCTGCACGCACAAATACACACATTATTACTGCGATGTTCGTCATCCCTGTTGTGCTGCAGCTCAGATGGAGCCCCAGAGTATACAGTGTGACTCCTTCAGATAACATTTGTCTCAGAGCTGCCATTTGACCCGATCAGCAGATCAGGCTGCAGCCGGCGTCCGCTGGTGGAGCAGCCGGTGGCCTATTGTCCAGCAGCAGGAGCTGAATGTCTGCAGCAGTTTAAACATGAACCTTTGCACCCCACCGGCCCCAAAACGGGCTGGAAAAGGCCACGGTTGTGCTCTTATCGGTATTGTATAGTTTTCCAAACACAGATCAGGAAGATGCTTCAGATAAACGTCTTTCTGGTAAAGATTTCTAATTCAGTGATGGATTTCAATTGCTTGATTCAGTTTAAATTAATCACATGAGTCTGATTATGGTGCTAAATGATTCAGTCAAGTCAAGTCTGACTGTTTTATTAAACGTGTGTTATATGGCAAAAGTTTTTAGGTTTCTTGAGTCATAGAAAATTCTGTGAAATTATTTTTCAGTGAATAATATTTCAAAATGATTTGTTACACTTACCTATTTTAAATGATTAAAATTTAGAGATAGATTTAAATGATTTTGTACATTAGATTTTTAAATTCTGTCTTTTTAAAAAAAAAAAAATTGCGGTTTTAGTGTATTTAAAAAATACATTAAATCTGTATAGAATATTCAGTAAAATAATTTTTGCGCAAATAATATGTCAACATGATTTGTTACAGTTACAGATATTTTTTTTTTGAAATTTTGTTTTACATTAGATTTGTAAATTCTGTCTTTTTTAAAATTGTATTGCTGTTTTATTGTGTTTTAAAAATACATACAATTTTCATTGAATATTCCTGTAAAATTACAGCAATATCTGCAAATTACCGACCCAACAGTTATGCCAATAAATCAATTTATTCCTAATTGTTTTTTTCAGAAATGTACAATATTATATTAGAATTTATATGCATGGGGCTTTTCAGAATAGTTCTTTTCGGATTAGCTGGTTGATATTGTACATTTTCATGGAATAAGTAAGGGGGGGGAAAGCATTTTGGAATCAACAGTAGTGTCTACTTTTAATTGTAAAGACCAGCTTAAGTGTGTGTTAACTCTTTGCTGAAGGAGTTTCAGTGTAGTATTTCTGTATAAATCTTTTTTTTTTTGGGTCACTTGCCATATTGAAAGTTTTAAATAAGACAAACAAATCTGCAGCACTGGTTCCATGCAAAATATACGAAAATGTCTGTAAATAGGCTGTTTTTGCATATTTTAGGTTTTTTTGTTTGGCAGCTGTTTGTTTTTTACGATTTCTTGTTGACAGTGTCAGCTTGTTCTGTGTTTAAGTGGTTTTCTTCTTTGTGTTGCGACTTGTTTGGATAAACCAGCCTGAGTCCTGTGATAACGTGCACCTAAATGCATGTATGCAAACACATGCACACAATCACAGTTTGTCGCCTCTGAGCAGATTTCACAGCCTGCAGCATCACGTTAACCTCAGTCGGCTCTCATCTGATCTCACAGCTGCAGCGGCAACAGGGTCAGAGACGACTGGTTGAGGACACGACTTTTGATTTAAAGTAGTGATTAACAGATTTAACCCTTTGAACTTCAAACAGATTCTGAGTCACTTTTCTCTGCAACATAAAGTCCTGCAGCTCTATGGAAACACAACAACCAGAAGAAGGAGAGAGAACTCAGAAATGTCTTCTGTGCAGGATAGAAAAGGTATATATATATATACACACACACACATAGCATTTAAAAAATACAAAAAATGAAAGCTGAAGTTCTTTAATTATTTGTTTATGTAAAATTTACAGGTGTAGAAAAATGGTGGCTCTTCATAATATAAATGCAGTAGAACTGGAGGCCAAGGCGATGCCATCTGGAGTAGCTATCTGGTTTGATATTGGGTTTCTGAGGTGTTTAGAGCCAAATACAACAACCTCAGTTTTGTCTGAATTTAAATGAAGGAAATTACAGGTCATCCAGGCCTTTATGTCCTTCAGACATGCCTGGAGTCTGACCAACTGATTGATTTCATTTGGTTTCATAGATAAATATAGCTGTGTGTCGTCTGCATAACAGTGGAAATTTATGCAGTGCTTCCTGATAATATTGCCTAAAGGGAGCATGTACAAGGTAAACAATATAGGTCCTGACACAGAGCCCTGTGGAACTCCACAACTAACTCTGCTGTGGCTCAGGTAGTAGAGCGGGTTGTCCTCTGATCGTAAGGTTGGTGGTTCGATCCTCCTCCCCTCCACAGTCGAAGTGCCCTTGGGCAAGACACTGAACCTGGAGTTTGCCCCAATGGCAGACAGCACCTTGCATGGCAGCTCTGTCGCCATTGGTGTATGAATGTGTGAATGAGAAACACATTGTAAAGCGCTTTGCTAAGGTAGAAAAGTACTATATAAGTGCAGACCATTTACCATTCATAATATAGATATTTAACTATTAACACTTTCACAACCTCCACAAACTGGGTTCATCTCTACAAAGATGTTCCACCATGCTACATGTATTGTCCAACAACTTGCTTCTCTGTTTAGTGTTTTTAAACCATGCTGCATTTATTTTATTGATCCGGTTTGATTTATTCTCCTCTCAGTCTCTGTCGTCGTCTCCTCTCTGCTCTGTGGAAACACTGCCTGCAGTTCACCTGAAAACTCTTTGAATTTTTGCCACATGATTGTTGGTCGTAGCTCAATGAAAGATATCGTCTCAGTTGCGTTGAGGAGCACAGATTTTTTTGTATTTTTACAAGAGCTGATTGGGGCAATTGCTTTTATTTGGGTGATTTTTTGAATGGAGTGATTTTAATGAAACGTCACAATTTTACACACATCTGTCTGTTTTAAAGCTGAAAATCAGTCAATTCTTTCCGTTTTTTGTTTTCTTTTTAGTTTTTTTGATCGGATAAATGATGCGATTTTGCAGACAACATGCCTTTGAAAGCCATGGTGGGTTTTGGGGTTCAGAGGAATAAAATCAAACCAGAATTCTGTCCCTAAATGTGTCTACAGATCAGATGAACAGAGATACACGAAGGCTTTTACAACCAGATGCCCTCTAGTGCTGCACCTCTACACTGTCCTCTGTGTTTTTCTCCACATATTTTTTCATCTTTTACCCCCGATGGCCTCTGTGCACGCCGACTCGCTTCCTAATTGTTGTCAGAATATGTTTTTTGCAACATGGGCAGATCAAGGCAACGCTTCAGTGACCTGGAATCATCATCACAGGAACAGTCAGTGGAAATGTCGCTCTGTGACGCTGCAGCTCATCTGATTAAAAAGCATATTAGTCTTCACATCAGTGCTCCCACGCTAGGTCTGATTTTCTTGAAAATGGACTATTATGTAATAAAAGAAATGCCCTTGGAAGATAACTGCACTGTAAAAATAATAATATTAATGATAACAGTTTTAAAAACAAATGCAAAACCTGTAATATTCCCAGAGGTCAAAGGTCAATGAAACACATACATCTCTTAATCGGTTATTTCAAATACTTAAAACACATTTTCTGGCCTTAATTTTACACAAGATCATGTTTAAAATATAAAGACTAAATAAAGATTAGGCAAACGTTACTACATTATTGTAATGCAGGGTCATCCTTCTTTTTATTGTCTGGCATTAGCTGATAGAAACACACATAAAATAAGATCAAATTTAGCCTGAAATGAGTCCATAGATATTTTCAGGTAATATTATCAGGCAAAGTGCTAGGTTGTAAAAAAAAATAAAATTAATTTAAAAAATAATAGTAATTTTTTCAATAAATAAAATACATTTTCGAGCCTTCATTTTGCATGAGATCATGTGCATTTATTTTTTT